ATGGCCTGACCCTGCTGCACCCCTGCCACCCCAGCTGGGTGGGATGCAGATTCACTGGATTTTCCTGAACCCACTCCTGGGGTGATAAAGAGGTCTGCAGGCAGACAAAGCCTCTTTTACCCTGCACTAGAAATGTGACTCGTTGATACAGGGTAGAACCGCAGGGATTTCAGTGCAATCCACACAAGCACAAAGGCTTTCCTGCTTGCTGCTCATTTCCTCCATGCCCCAGACAGAGAACCTCGTGTTCAGCACCGAAGTTCTGCAGCTATTTACTCTGGGGAAGGATCAGGAGGCTGATAAACAGACCCCGGTCATGCATGTTGAAAAACAACAATAAAAGAGTTAACACTGAAGTCAAACCACCTCCCACCAACTCTCCTCTCTAAGTAGGAAAATTTTTCAGTGAAGGCACTAAACTTGCCAAGGTCCTTTAATTCAGCTGGCAGGTCCCACAGCCCCCTCTCGCTGTCTGCAGCCCACGACTGTGCTGCAGCCCAGGCACCAGGGCCGGACAAAAACCACCATCACATTAAACCTCCTTTGTTCCAAAAAGCCCTTTTTCCCCTGCAGAAAGTGGCATTGAGCTAAACACAACTGCTGTGGGACTTTCTAATTTATTTTTTTTTCCTTCTTACCCATCTGCTTACAGCTGGAGAGAAGGGACAAAAAAAAAAAAAAAAAAAAAAAAAAAATTCAGTATTTAAAAGAGGACAATGGAGGTGCAGGAACAAGTTTCCACTTTGAGCTGGATGATGAAAATCCCGTTTCACGCCATTAGAGCAGCAGAGCTCTGGAGCCATTTTCCAGTGGGAGGCAGAGGGGCAGGAGAGGGAAGAGCGGCGAGGCAGAGCCCCATCACTCCCCGAGGGCAGGGGCAGCCCTTGGCAGGACCCAAAACTCAGTCGCCTTCCCCATCTGGGATTTCAGGAGCAGAGGTTGCAAGGAGGAAGGAGAGGGCTGAGATCAAAGCAGTGCCCTCCTCAATCCCGAGAAAATCAAGGGACCCCCAGCGCTCAGGGCTTCCCTCTAATCACCGCCCTCACTCGCTGACATCCAGGGAGTGGAAAAGCTTCACCTGCTGTAGAACTGAGAAGGAAAAGGTGTTTACAAGCACCTCGGCCACCCTCAGGCTTCCAGAGGGTTCTGTCACACCAGAACAGCAGATCTGCTCGGCTCTGCAGCACAAAGCTCCAATTCCAGACTCCCCTCCAGCATGAGCCTTCTGCTCTTCCTCCATCCTTCACCCCCTCGGGGCCTCAGGCACAGAGGCCAGTGTTAGCCAGGATCCATGTCCCAGTAATCCATCCCAAATAAGAAAGATAAAATGATAACAAGCCATGTAAACTGCTGCTGGAGGGTTTAAACTGCAGGATTGCTTTGATGGGATTTCCATTTCTGTCTTCAGAGCCTCTCTGTCCTCCTACAATGTAAAATAATTCTCACTCCATGGAAACACGAGCCTAAGTCATAGAAAAATAAAGAGAGAAATACTCAAGGTCTTGTTATGTCCTGAGATAACCATCCGTCTTATGATGTGAGGAAAGATTGCCTGAGACAAAGAATCATTTAGAAAAAGAAAAGGCTGAACTGCCACATTAGTCTTGACGAAAAAAAGATTATTCTAATGCACAGAGAGCCATTACACACCAGCAATTCAGCAACATTGCTCAGTTTGCACTCAAGACTGCATTTACCATGCTGTCTTCACTGAGAAAGCACAGCTTTAAACCCACAAAAAACACCACACCGAGGACACAGAAGTGTGTAATGACAGGACCCAAAGCCCCATCTAATGATTTTATTAGTGGCTCCTACCCCAGAATTCAGTCCCAAAGATGTAACCAAGGCAGTCTCATTATGCATTACAGATCGATGACACTTTTTGCAACTGAATGCCTTTTATTCAAAACAACATTTCTTTGCAATTTAAGGTTTTATAAAAATGCAATTAACAAAAACCTAAAAAAAAAAATTCCAAACACAAAAAACCAGCAAGTGAAAAATGTAATCTCTCAGTTATTTTACACTCTGATTTTCACTTTCTACTTTAGCATCCTTCCTGCATTCCCAGCTGCCATGGCCAGACTGTTCTGTCCACCTCAGACATCCCTCAAAATCTGTTTGAAACCCCTGGTTTCGCACAAGAGATTTTTTTTTTTTTTTTTTTGCCAGACATACACACAGGTCCTGGGGAAGACCCAGATCTGACTTTCCTGAGCACCACACTCAACAGCCCATTCCCACCCAGGTGCAAGTGCCCATCCTGTGCAGTCACCAGGGGAACACACCTTGGGCAGCACAGCCTTACAGGGCTGGGCCACTTCAATAATCCTCTGTCATGATAAAGTGGCAAATTCTGGCAAAGCAGCAGGTTGTGCCCAGATGTCCCCAAGGACATGGGGTGATCCTGCAGGGGATGAAGTTATTTACCCAGCCCAGGAGGAGAAGCCTCCCTTGATGCCCCATGTCTGTCCCTGGCTTTGACTTTTGTATGGTCACAGCTCAGCCCAGCGATGCCATGCTGAGAGCTCCACTGCACCAGGGGTTTGTGACAGGACACAGAATACCTGGGACAAGCTGTGGCTTCAGGGCTCTGGCTACTGAGCCTCTCCCAAATGCCAAAGCAGTAACAAAAGAAAATAACCCTTTTTGACAGCAGGGAAGGAAAAAAAAACAAACAAACTTTCACTGGCTGGCTGATTTCTCGAACAAATATTTTCAAAAGAAAAAGAAAACCCAGCTGGCTTCCAAATACACAAATTAAAGCAACTAACAGAATTTTCCACTGTTACATTTCCAACCCATCCTATTCTTTGTTAGGAGCATCCCTGAGCTAAATGGCTCCCTCTTATCATGGATCTCATGGATCCTGTACTAACAGAGTATTTCAGGGAAAGGCACTCACCCACTCAAGAAACAGCAATAGCAAACCCTGATCTTTAGCTTCCTCCCAGCTGTACCAGATCAGCCCTATGGTGATACTCACATGTGGGCAAGCACAACTCTGCCCTGCTTCCCTCATCTTCTGTTCATTCCACACCCTCCCTCTTCCTTCCTGCTCACTTCATTTTTCCTGCTTTGGTACTTTTCCAGTGTCAGCTGCCACCTTTATCTTTTTGTGCATCCCACTTCTCAGCAAAGAACATTTTTGCACCCCTTTCTGGAGGCTCTCTGGATACTTATCCTGCCTCTGCTGCATTACCTCATCCCCAGAAAGAGCTGGCCTGCCACACCTGCCCAGCCTGAATAACTGAATTCAGGCTGAATATTTTCTATCCTACCTACGGACACAAGTTATTATCTTGTGTTAAGTAACCCAGGGCATCTCAAGTTTATTGTCACTCCCAGGCAGACGAGCACATTACAGCACCATGAATAGCTCTCGTTTGCCAAAGAACCTGAAGCAAAGTAAAGAAATTGGGTTGATGAACAGGGAGGTGGTCCTAAGGAATAATGCCATGAGGGTTCAGAAGAGGCTGAATGATGTTATATAGCACACCCTGACTTACAAAAGACACTGGCCCAAATTCTCCTCTCTGACTTTCAGATTCACTGAGACATCTCTGTATGCAAATGTCACCAAAACCGAAGTATGGTTTTGTTGTTCTACAAGCCCTTTAACAACAACCTCCTTATCCTGATATGAGCTATTTTATTGACCTACAGCTCCATCTCCACCCTGGTGATGCTGAGAAACTTCCCATTTTTCCTGGGGGCTTTACGTTCTACACCCACAGGGTGAAGGAGAACCACCCTGCTGATCTGAACGGCCCAGGTTTGTAAAGTTTTCTCCAGGAAGGAACAATTTAGGCAGACACCTACACGGGGAGCCCAAGCTGTGCTCTGCAAGACACCTCCGAGGTGGGCTGGTACAGGCAGACAGCAGCAGCCGGCAGCAGATGGGTGGGAGCAGGCAGAGCAGCGCGGCGCTGCAAAGCCGTTCACGCTGTGCCCAAAGTTCTTTGTCCTTTCCAGCTGGGTACCTGAGGACACAGCGCATCTGAAAGTGAGCTGCAGTGTCCTGGGATGCAGATTAGGGATGTAAAACCACTGGGAATGGCATGAGCGGGATAGCGGTATCCAGTAGATCTTGGCATCCTAAACAAATCAATAGCTGGGAAAATAGGGCTCAGCTGGATAGAGGCTGAGAAGGACATCCTTTCTACACCCCTCCTCAGAGCCCTCTGGCTCAAGATAATACAAATTGAGGTTTTTCTGTAGGGTGATTTCTTTTTCGTTTTAAAAACAGGAAAGTTACTTGCTCTGCAATTTTTCTAAGGTTGTTCTCTCAAAGACAGATTCCACCACCCCACGCAGACTCTGCTCAGCAACAGCATCACGGCCCGACCCCAAAAATTCACCACCTAAAAGGCGAAGAAGACATTCCCAGCCCAGATTTTCTCCCCTCCGAGCACGAAGACGTCTACAGGCATTCCAGCCCCGCTCCCTGCGCAGCTCAGGCACCCATCGATGGCAGCCGGGCAAAGGTTGTTGGGCAGGATGTCCGCAGCGCTGCCTCCGGTTGTCCCCATGTGTTTGCTCACTGACAGGGCAGGAGCAGCCGAGGGGACACGGAGGACACGCCGCCCCCGCAGGCAGAGCCCCCTCCGCGCGGTTACCGGCCCCGGCAGCGCTGCAGCCCGCGGGGACCCGCCGGGATGACATCAGCGCTCACGGCCGGGAGAGGAGCCGGCCCGGCCCGGGGGAAATTGGGGAAACCTCGGCCGGGGCCGCTCCGCGGGGACCGCGGCAGCGCAGCGCATCCCTCCAGCAGCCCCGGAGCATCCCCGCTGCATCCCCCGCGGTGCGGAGGGGGGTCGGGCACACCCTCGGCGGGGCGCAACCCCCGCGGCTCCCGGAGAGGGCAGAGCCCCGCGTCCCGACACTACCGTGCCGAGCCGTGCCGAGCCGTGCGGTGCGGTACCGAGCCGTGCGGTGCGGTGCGGACAGGTGCAGCTGCAGCCGCCGCCCGCGCCCCCCGCCTCCCCTGCCCTTACCCGGGGCGGCGCAGTCGGCGCACGCCGCGTTCCCCGGCCGCTGGAGCAGCTCCAGCAGCGCCTTCCTGCTCCTCTCCTTCGCCATGGGGGCGGCGGGCGGCTCGGCGGGGCTGCGCTCGCTCCGCCGCGCTACGGCAGCCTCATGGCGCGGGCGGGGGGCGCTGGCGAGGCGGGCGGCGCCCGGGCGGCTCCATCNTGCCCCCGGTGCCTCCCGCCCGCCGCTGCCGGAGCCGCCCGGTGCCGCCGGTTCCGCTTCCAGCGGGCGCTGCCGGCTCCCCGCGCCGCTCGCCCGCGACCTCCAGCGGCAGCGCGTCACCGCGGCGGCCCCTACCCCCCGAGGGGGTCCCCGAGATTCAGGGCATCCCATCCCGCCGGGTGTCCCCGGCACTCAGGGGTGCCTTTCCTGGTTTAATTCCTGCCCGCGGAGGGGATGCTCCGGCGGGCGCTGACTGCGCCGCCCCGGTAAGGGCAGGGGAGGCGGGGGCGCGGGCGGCGGCTGCAGCTGCACCTGTCGCCGGTGGGAGCTGAGGGTCCTCACCTGTGCGAGGTGGCGGCTGGCAGCGACCCCAGCTCTCCCTGGGCAGGGCCTTGCCACTTAAGCACCTGCAGGTTCATGAGCAGCACGTTTGGGATGCCCCTCTGACATCAGCAGCTTTTGGGGGTACTTGTGAAGGTCTCATGAGTAGCGCCATGCACTCCAAAACACTCCTCCTTCACTGCTGTCCTTGCACATCACCACCAGCTTCCACGTCTGTGTCTTGGCAGGACTGTCCTCCAATGTCTTCCCACATTTTTCACACCTCCATGGTGACAGGGGAGTATCAAGGGGAAAACATCCCTGTGCCATCATGGGTGTCCATCTCATGCCATCTATGAAGCAAGACTCCTTGTTTTGCCAGTCAAAAACTAAAGTGTCACTCAGGGGCAGGATGTAAGAAGCTTTTGGCCAAGGAAGGGCTCAGAGCTGTGTCTCCTTAACTAAGCCCTGCTGAAACCTTCTTCTCACGTATGGGTCACCTGTGATGCTGCAATGTCCTGTTTGTGGTTCACAAGTCTCTGCTTACAAAAACAATCTTGGTTTTGCAAAGCAAATCCCCATTTAGTCACCCAACTCTGTTTCCTCCAACAAAGCAGAGCCCTCCTGCAAGCTCAGCTCATGCCATTCATGCTGCCCATGAGACTGAGGCTGTGCACGAGCATCTGCAGGAGGAGGCTGCCAGGAGCTCCTGGAAAACTTCCACAGCCAAACCACCATCTTGATCCTGCAAACATGAGGATGTGAGCAGGTTCCTGAGAACACTTTGTGGGAGAAAATAGCCCCTTAAATACAGGCAGAGTCATGGCCTGGTACATTTACAATGCTCCCTTTGCCTGGAACACGTTTTCCTAAGTGACCTTTGCGTTTGTGCTGCTGGACAGGTGACTGCATCCAGGTTTATTTCTGTTTTAAACTGATTCTGGACTGTTCCTTGCTGACTCAACCCAGTGTCACACATTGTGCTGGGCTCACTAGATCTACACACACAGCTTGATAATATCTGGAAACTCACTCCCATCCTAACCAAAGGCATAATCCTCCTCACAGACCTTTTGTGGGGAAACTGAGCTGCTGCATCCAAACCCTCACCTTCTTCAGCCTCTGAGTCACTATCACTTACCTGGAGCACTGACTTCTGACAGCCCCAGCGTGAAACCAGCTCAGCAGAGCACCTTAACCCTCCACACCTGTGCTGTGTTCAAGCTTGACAATGTAAATGTCAGAGGATCAGAGCTTTACCTAAGCCCAAGTTAGGCGAGGTTTTCCTGTGCACTTTGGCTTTTGCAGAAGAGGCATTTGCTGAATGCTTCATGCAATTGCCAGGATGCTGCACATCGTCATGGACTTACTGTGGGCCAGGGCTGGGAGCAGGGAGGGCGTTTGGTTTGAAAGTCTCTGTTTAGCTTTCCATTAAGACTTATTGATTCTCTTAATTTTTTGTTCCCCTGGTTGCTAGGCAATTCCTGTCTCTCCTCCGTGTGCTGGAAGCCAGGGCTGCAGGCAGAAATTTATATCTTGTAATAAAATCAAATAAAACAGAGCCTGTTGTCAATGATGAAAGGGGAGAGTTTCATAAAGGACAGGCAGAGCAGGGGAGCAGGGCCAGCAAGGGTCGATCAGCAGCATCCTCAGCATTTAAATCTCATCACAATTACTCCAGATTCCACATGGAGAAACAAACAGCCCATGTGGGTGGAGGGAATGTGGAGAGTCAGGGAGAAAAGTTGGAACTAAATGAGCCAGAAATGAAGATAAACTTTTGTTCAATGGAAATCAAAGGCTTGAGCCAACCTCACATGTACAAGGGCATCTCTGAAAATTGACTCCTGGTTTATCCAAGGTTGAGAGGCTGGGTATTGTCCCAGTGTTGGTTGGCACAGTGTTGATCCAGGGCAGGCACTGAGGTTCTCCTGACGGACACTGACTCCTGAGGAGTGTGGTTCCTGGCGTAGAGCAGGGACTGCATCTGAGTTTACATCTCACATGGGTAAAGAGCAAAGGTTGTCCCTGCAAGGCTGGTGGAGGCTGATGGGCATCACTGCTCAGCCTTGTCCATGTCAGACTGTTCCCTCCTCTGAGCTTTGCCCCACGCTTTTCCTGTGGGTAGCACCTTTCAGGGAATGCCTAAATGAATTTGCTCCTTATTGTAAAAGCAGGGTAACTTCAAGGATGGGGAGAAATGATGCATTTGACTCTACTGATATTAGAAGGCTAATTAATTACTTTATTATCTATATTATTCCATACTATATTATATTACATTTAAATTGAAATTGTACAAGTACTTGATTTAACCTAACTGTACAGAATTTCGTGACTGTCCACTGACAGTCCCAACATGCACATACAGATTTAATTGGTTAATGAATCAAAACACACTAGAATTTAATTACTAATTTTTTTTTAGGTAAATAATTTTTTTACAATGTATTCTACTTGTTCTAAAACACAGGAGCACTAAATGAGGTAAGAATTGTTTTTTCTTTCTCTGTGGTTCAGAGAATGTGAATCTCAGAAATATTTTTGGGAAGTTGTGCTTTGCTTTTCTCTGTGAAGAGAAAGGTGGCCATAGCTCCTATTTCTTGCAAAGTCTCTGATCAAACTCTCTGGAGATGGGTTGTTGCTGTCAATACATCACCTTCATTCAGATGCTTCCTGTCTCTCCACTGCTAAGTGACTTGGAGGTCTGGCATAAATTCACATCCATATGTATGTAAGTACTTACATATTTATGTGTGAGATGTGTTTGTTTGTAAACACACACACTTTTAACTCAGTCTTTTCTAAGTCACAAGGTTGTTGCCTTAGAAACGGACGTCATTAATGCCATCTCCCGAGGTGCTAAGCACAGTGGCAGCAGGGGCAGCCTCTGGAAATGCCAGATACTGAGGTCAGGCCAAAGAACACCCAGAAATTCCTAGAAACCTTTCCATCATCTTTGCGGTGACGCCTGAAAATGCACAGACATAACTACACCTTCTCCCTGCCCTTCCATATCAGCTCCTTTCACCCCGAGACTGCCTTTTGTTAGGAAAGGGCTGTTTACTCTGAGGTTCAGTTAATTTCCCAGCCCTAGCCCTGAAATGGATAAATCAATGTCACAACCGTGCAAGTAACAGGGTGTTAAACACGAGCCTTGATGTGACCCGGGAGCGCATTCCCAGCACAGGGTGGGGAAGCATTTCAAATTCCTGCGTGAACAGCAAACCTGAACAGAAATATCAATAATTCATGCCACGGCAACTGCATTCAAGCTACTCTGGAGTAGCAGACAGAGCAGGCAGGATTCCATAGGCTTCCTCAGCACCACAGGGGAGGCAGCTCTGGCAGCTGGAGGTTTGTGTGAACAAGCTGCAGCACTGGCACCCGCACCTATGTTAAACAAGCACCAGCTCATTTCCGTTGCAGTATTGGTTTCCTGTTCAAAAGAAAAAAGGAAGAAACCAATCCTAGAGGTTTTGCTTTTAAAAAAGAAAGAGTTTTCTGGGTTATCCAGTTAAATCAAGAGTGGGTATAGCTGGGAGGGAGGAATGTCACAGAGCAGAGAGCTCAGAGCAGGGCAGTTTAAAAATCTTGACCCAAAAATCCAATACTGATGCCAACTTTCTCTTATTTTGGGCAAATTGCTGTATGGTGCCTGTGAGATTTTTTTGTGTGGAACAGGGAAAAGCACACTCATGGCATCTGTGTGGTTAGGATGTGTGGATTGAGTTGAAGAGGATGATGCAGGAGAAAATGATGTGAGGGTGGAAAAAGAACTGTGATGTCCTGTGTCTGCAGAGCTGCTCTGCACCTGCAGCAGCCCTCCAAGAAGACAAAGTGTTGTGCAGCTCTAAAAGTGTCTCACTGCAGAGTGATCTGCAGATCAGGGTTTCCTTCCATTTGCATAGTAGTTAATTCTATTGCAGCCCAGTGTCACCAGTGTGAAAAAAGGGGAATCCTTTGCTCCCATGATTGAACAGTCATGCAGTTACCACCATGCAAACCAGACCACAGAGATCTTTTGTAGGGAAGCAGAACTGGGGAGAATGAGGACAAGGCGGGAGGTTCAGACCAAAATCTCTTTTTAAAGATTTCTGCAACACCCCAGAGCTGATCACTGCTCTCTCACAGCCATGCTGCCACAAAACTTCTCCAACCACCAGCCTGTCATGTGCTCAGGACACACTTTCAGTTTCTTTTCTGCCTGCCTCTGGCCAGCAATGGGCTGGCTGGGGGTCAGTGCACGGGTGCAGAGGCTGTTTAATTACTCAAATAGCGTGGTTGGGAGCCAGAATACATCTGAGAGAGAGAGAGAGAGAGAGAGAGAGAGAGAGGGTAATTGATGGCTTGAAGATGTGGGATATTTGTATGTCTGCTCCACGGCACCTGGGGAAATCTCAGTGTAAGAAAACCAGCTCTTCAACAGTCCTGTTGTTGCACCAAACCCATCTCCTATGATGTAAAATATGACATGGAGGGGCCAGCTGAGGGAATTGGCTCCATGGCAGCTGCAGTGAACCAGCTGGAGATATGCAGATTTCTATTGCCCAATGACAGGCTCTTTTCTGTGCACAGAGGAGATGAAATTAGTCCAAGGAAGTCAACAGTTCACCCACGTCTGTGGCAGGCCACTGCTTTTAGCATTATTCCTGATTTATCCTAATTGAGAGACTGAGGCCTGTGGAATCTCTGTATGGAGAAAGCCAACCTGTGTGTGATGACACTCATACATCAGGGGATTAGCTCCTCCAAAAAAAAGTCAAAGTGATTATTCAGAGCAGGACATCATCAATTCAGTCTGAGTCAGCCACAGCAGGACAGCTTCGGTGTGCAAACAGCAGGGCAGC